GTGTGTGTGAGAGAGAGAGAGAGAGAGAGAGAGAGAGAGAGTATAAGTCTCCAACCTCGCCCAACAGCTAAGTCTCCAGCCCCACGGCTCGCCGCACGCTGCTTGGATCGATAGAACGAGCAAATAAAAAAGTGGCAGTGTATATTTCCCCGTTTCAGCAGAAGATTCATTCCGATTTTGCTCATCCTATTGATGGAATGTTTGTGTGAGACGTTCATGATTCGACCGAGGGGAGAGAGAGAGAGAGAGAGAGACGCATATATATTTTCGCGCTTCGGGCTCCTGTTGCCACGATCTGGACACATGAAAACGGCCACCGAACATGCATGACAGAGAGAGAGAGAGAGATACGACTACAGCGTGGCCGGATGTGACTGCACAGGTACAGAGAGAGAGAGAGAGAGAGAGAGAGAGAGAGAGAGAGAGAGAGAGAGAAAGTGAGAAAGAGAGACATGAAACAAAAACGAGACGCCATCAGCGAGTGTTGCTGTGAGCCGTGGCGGGGTCCACTTGTTTGGTCAAAAGCGTGCCAAGGGGTACCCAGTGCAAGGTTGAAACCGGCCTCCAGAGGCCTATGTGCAATAGCTGACCCTGGGAAAGTCAACGGTCAACCCCAGCTCGGGAATCCAGAAGTCTAGTCCATGCGCTGGTCAGCCTCGGCCGTAGATCAGATGCGCATCCTTGGTTGTCTGCAGGTATGCAGAAAAATGCGGTCCAGGTGGGACACGTGGGAATCTGCAACTGTGCGACATCCTGGCCATCGGCTGCTGACAGATCTGGGCCGTTGTGCCCAAGAGACCAGAGGCTGGTGAAATGAGTCAACACTGAAAGTTGACCCAGCCCCTGTTGAAGAGCATTCAGTCTTGTGCGTTCTGCTTGAGGCTAGCTTGATGCTAGTGCCACGACGCGAGACTGCGGAAGCTTTATGCTGCCGCCATCTTCTGTGCGCGGCACCAGCCTTGAGGGCATTATGCTGACGTGGCGTTAGCCACATTGATTGAGACACTGACTGGAGTGAGGGCAAGGAGGAGGATCTGGACTGTGTGAATGGTACAAGGAGAAAGCAGAAGGAGAACTTTTCCTGGACATGCCTGCGACGATGCGTGTGCTTCGCTGATTGTCTTCAAGTAGGAGATCTGCACCATCCTCCTCAGCTGCTGCTGACGTGGCAGAAGGATGGGCGCCTGCTGAGACCTGCTCGTTGTGTATGTCAGAGACCGTCAGGGAGGGACTGTTTTGCTGGCGTGGTGAGTTGGCGGTAGGAATGCCCAAGTAGGAAGAGGGCTCAAGTGGGGACCTGCTTGGTTGTGGGAACTCTCGTCATCCTCCTTTCTGTCTCATCTCCCCCTCTCCTCATTCTCTTGTCTGGTTTCAAGACATTTGGAGACTGCATGTGTGACGAGTAACCACATGAACGATTTTTGGGGACATTGATGCCGTGCGGTGACAGACTTGTATATCGACATTTGTGAGCTTCTCGTCTGAGTGGGTTCATTGCAACCAGTACCACGGCCATATATTGGCCGCGGGAAAAAGTAAAGCAGAATCGGTTCTACTTGGATGAATTTGGGCACTCCATTCCTGACTCGTTCATTCGAGCGCAGCTGGGTGGTGTATGTGGCACAACTTTGGGGGGTACTGGTGGCTCAACCTCTCTGATGAGTGCTGCAATAGACTGCACAATTGTGCGGACTAACTACACACCATATGAATCAGGCACTTCTCCTGCCTTGGTTCTACCACCAGAGAGGGCAACCTCCTGGCCCTGTGATGACGAAATAATCAACCCAGAAGTTGACCAGAACCAGATTGACCTGGCTGACATCCTGATGCAAGCCATGTTTTACGGTAGGGGTGGTTGGGAAGCTCTCTGCAAATGCGACCATTGTCTGCCAGCAAATTGAGCACAGGCTCCGTGGAGAACAATACTAGATTGACATGCTCGCAATAAGCAGACGTAATGATGCATATTCAATTTCTATGGTGGTGATCGGGGGTTTTGTGCTGAGTCAAAGAGGCCGACTTCCTGTCGGTCTCGCTTCGTCCATAGTTGTCCATCGCTACCCGCGACCCCTTCTTGTCTGTGCTGATGGCTCTCCTTTATTCTTTACTCGAGCGCTGCGGGCAGTCGTACTACTCGGTTGTCTGTGGTAGGCACTCGTGCCTACTGTGGTTTACATCTTCCATTCTTAGATGCAGTGCAGCCTCCTGAGCTGTCAAGGGCTCTTCTGCAGGCTTGTGTCTCTTACGTACCATCCACCACATCTAATATTTCTGGGGGCTGACGGCAGAAGTTAAAGCACAAGATGTGGTACCTGTTTCTGTGACACTGCAAGAAAACCTCCGGGCAGTTCGTTGACCCAAGAGAGGGCTTAGGAAAACCTGCCTGGAGCCGTTTTGAATACCCTGAGAAAATCTGGGAAAGTCGCCATGCATAAAATCGACAATCTCAACGCCTTGTACAGTCTTTGAATTGAGAACAAGGTGGAAAATCAAGTGAACACTGATATGCAAATACAAGGCTACTCACAAAAAAGGCAAGCACCTCGCTTGCATTAGCCGATGTGGCAACAGAGCGAGTCCGGGGAACGAGCTAATCTTTTTTTCACCAGGGAAGAAGAAAAAGAGAAGACGAACAAGTTGTCCTGGGTTTCCATTAAAGAATGCTTCATGCCCCTGGAAATGGTTTGGACTTGAAGTCTCGACTTAGTTGCTGTTGAATTGCATTCAGGCACTAATGTGGCCTGTTGTTGTGAGATTTGTAGACACGTATCGCCTGGTTCGTATTTATGGTTCTGGAAAGGGTCTGCTAATGGAAATGCTGCTGCACAAGGTTTCTCGGAGGACACACCGAGGACCGTGGGGGGGGAGGGGGGGAGAGAGAGAGAGAGAGAGAGAGAGAGAGAGAGAGATTTACGTCTTGGATTCTCTGTTTGTTTTGTTTCATATGTTCACTCCAGGCTTGGTCAACAACTGCTTTTCCATATTCAGCTTGAACGGAGCGGATAATGGGGGCGTAGGCGGATCTGCTTGAGGGCTCTTTGTGGTTAATGGCCGGCCCTCTCATGGGACTCTGATTTCGAGAATCTCCTCTGTTTTTGTCTGAGACAGAGGGGGTGTCATTTGAGGCTTTCTGCCATGTCTTTACAGTGCTGGAGCTGGTGAGGATTGGGTCTCGTCATTGCAGTAAATTAGAAGCAATACTGGTCCTTCAAGGGAGTCCAGAGCTGTGGTAACCTGAGGCGTTTCTTGGGCATGCATGTTATGCAGTGATCGTGGTGTCAATTGCCGAATAGGAGTTTGGACTCTGGAGTGTGATGCAATTTGTAAAGATTGATGGTGGAATGTGGAGCATTCAAATTCTGCTTGGTCTGTCTTATTGGAGGCATGGGCACGGCCAGCATCTGCTGCTGAAGGTCAAAATATTCAATACTGGACCGGGTCCGTGCTAATTTGGTTGCAAATTGCAAGTATGGTTGGTGACAAGGCTGTTTGCAGCTGTGGCTGCAGCTGCAGCAAGTACTTAGGCGTAGGGAAGGTGCAACTCATGTAATGTATGATTGTTCCTTCTCGTTGTATTGCTGCTACATGGACCAACCACCTGCTACATGGACCAACCAGGTGGTACCTGTCACTGTCTAGCTTCGGAACAAGTGGCCATCTTTCTGGTCCAGATTTGCCAGGCAGTCGAGTGTATGGATCAGGTTGCAACATTAGGATCTTTTCTCCCCAAAGGGTGCATGCAGTCATGTCATTTTCCGCAGAATCAACTGCATCTGGTCTTGAAATGTGTTCTCATTGCTGTGGCGATTTTGGGGATTTGAAGGCCTCTGAGAATTCTGGAGTGTTTGATGACAGGTGGTGGTGTGTGTGACCTTTGTGACGCGTTATGATTGGGGTAGGGTCAGACGGAACGGGTGATGACAGGTGGTGGTTTGTTCGAGTGTTATATGGCTTTTGTGACCCATTCTGATTGGGGTAGGGTTGGAACGGGTGACATGGGGTGTCCTCTTCTTGAGCCTGGTTGGTTTGGACCCTTGTTGGTATGTGTGGGTTTTTCCATGGAGTGGTGTGCTGGATGTGACATGACGTGATTTGTATGAATGGGGGCTGTAGCAGTTCTGGTCTTTTCATGGGCTCTAGTTCTTTTCGGTTGCCTTATATGTATGTATAGGTTGGGAATGTGTTTGACACTTTTTTGCAGAGCTTGTCATCTGGACAAGGTCTGCACCGGGTTCATAGACTGGTGGGTTTGGACTGTTGGTTGTATGTGTGGGTTTATCCGTGGAAGGTTGTTCTAGATGTGACATGATATATGTTTGAACTTTGAATCGACTGTTATGGTCTTTTCTTGGTCTCTAGTTTTTGGTTGCATCATAGATGTATAGATTGGGCATGTTCCGACGTTGATCTGTGTGGGTGGTCCCCATTTCTCTTGGCATTGTTCCCTCCTGAGAATGTCAGCGGTGTCTCTGTACTGGGGCTCTTGGATGGAAACAGGTGGGCTGGTGGCTGGTTAAATTTTGAATTTTCACTTCTAGACGATGAGAAGAGCTAAACACACTCAAGAGAGGAGTATCTCTATTTCCTGCCTTTCAAGTCCCTTCCCATGGTCAAATTGTTTGTTTGTTTGTTTGTTCATGTGTGCATGTATCACTGAAACTCTGGTGTATACCACTTTCTTGTCTCCCCTGCCCGAGCAGGCACTCATTTTGCAATGAATGCCTTATAAGAGATTGTAGCAGAACCACCACATGAGCACCCACGCCTCATTTCTGGAGGGAGGCGGTTGCGGTTCCTTGTGCTTTCTATCTACTCTCGTGTTTTCTTGGTCAGAATCTTCTTCTGGTGCTGTGCCTTTTTTATTGAGTTTTTATTTCTCCCTTATTCAAGTTGTTGTCGGTGCGCCCTGTGGGCTCATCAAAGGGTTTTACTGGATTAACCCCACCTTGTTGTGATTGCTCCCGAACAGAGTGCAGATTCAAAATTTCCACTAGGCATGCCACTGCTGTGATTGCTTGCCAACAGAGTGCAACTTCAAACATCGCCTCACGGCCTGGCTCCATTCTATTCTGCTTAGCAGCAGTCGATATCCTTTTCCACTTGCAAGCGATAAAGGACATTCATTTACAGGTTGCCCTTAACCCTTCCTTCCGTTGAGGCCAAAGGAGGCCCCGAACAGCATTGCCTTGGCTTGTTCTCTTCTTGTGGTTAGCTTTCCCTTCTACTTGGAACGGACTGTCTGATCCGTGTGTAGATCTGTATTTTATGAAGGCTGAAATGGAGCAATACTAAGCCTGCTTTGATTGCATCTTGCACCTGTGCATATCCTCGTCCCGCGGAGCTGAACCGCTCAACACCCAGATGGCGTTGCGGTTTTCTTGCTGCTTTCAAGTGCTTTGTCTTTTTGCCAAAGTTTCTGGATGTTTTCCCCTTGCGGTGGAAAGATGTGAATGTACACTTGTCTCGTGTTTGTCTCCTGGAAGCTTGATGCCAGCTGATGCTCGGGATATCATATGTGCACTGGAAATGAGGAATGCTACCGGTCCATATTTTGTATATTGGCTCTCCAACGGGGGGGATAATCCAGCGACGATTACTGACGGTGGGGATGATCTAGCAGCGATCACTGACGGCGGGGATGATTGAGCAATGATTACTGATGGTCGTGATGATCTCGCAACGATCAATGAATCCAAGTGCAGTGGAATAGAGAGCCTACAGTTATGGGAAGGAGATTTGCATTCAGCACATTTCTGAATCGCTGTCGTTTTGACAAAGATAGGCCACGGATTGCGCTTCGTTCTTCAGGCCAGTGCCTCCTTTGCCAGTGATCCAGCAGTTATTTTTCTATCATGGGGATTGTGGCTGATACTTTGTGTTTAGGGTTTAAGTGTTGATGACAAAAATGCTGGAATTCTGTGATATCCTGGACCTTGGATTCCCCAGGCTCAGATTCGTAAATGTGGCCAATATAGAGCACAGTGTGTCGTGTGGATCTTCCATCGGTTGTCGGTGCCTTTGGACAAGGGGCGTAGTGGCTGCAAGGTAATGTGCTTGCGTTCTCGAGCGAGAGGGGGTACGTAAGAGGAAAAGTGAGGATGCACAGAGGCACTAGGCTCTGCGGTTCTTACTGACATGGAGCTGTTGAGGAGAAAGTGTTTTTTTTTTTCAGTGGTGCTGCAGGCAGAAATGGAGACGTAAAGAGAAGCAAGAGCAGCGGAAAAGAGACCACCTTTTTTCATCATTTAATTGCATGGAAGACTGGAGGAGTGAGGCATGCCCCACCGGTATGACTCGATAACTGAAGGATGGATGCATCAGGCGGTCCTCTCATTGCGTAAAGGGCATGAACAGTGCCGCCCTGTTTACTTGGCAACAGTCCCCTCGGGTGTGCTTTCCCATTGCTCAGCTTCTAATGCTCTCCTCCTCGTCACTCGTTCCGAGGGAGAACCAACCCAGCAACAAATTTCACATCTAGAAGACAGGTGATGTTGCGGTGATCTTGGTTGTAAGTGCATCAGGGAAAAGAGGAGAGAAACGGTCAGCGGGGTCTGAGCGCTTAACAGAGCACCCACCCACCTTGAAGCCCCACTCAGCCCACTGGAGCCTTGTGAAGTCCCTGCTACTGCCTTTGCTGAGATAAAGTGCCTCTGAACTTTGCCAGCTTCCCAGGGTACGATAAAAAAAAAAAACAAAAAAAAACTGGCGAGTTTTTAGTGCTCCCCACCTCGTATCGGAATGCAGTGTCGAATTTACTGTGAATAACCCTGGGCAACATAATAAGTTGTGAACTGACTAATCGTACACTTAACCAAATTAAAAAGAAGAAAAAAAAAAAATTGTACACCTCACGTAGCGCATTTGCATCATGAATTTGAAATCCAGATATGCACTGTTTTTCCTGGAACAAAAATAGCCCAGAAGATGAGAAGAGGATTTACGGTTTCCATGCATAAAGAACTGTGCCTTCGGGATATCCGTTAAAATTGGAACAACACACAGAAGATTAGCATGGCCTTTGCGCAAGGATATGACACACACACACAAAAAAAAAAGAGGAATTGTGCCTGGAATGAGCGGAAGCCGTAGCCTGCTGTTTGAAGCAAAGGCTCTCTCCATCCAGGGAGGTCTTCGATGTTCAACCATTTCTCGATTTATGCGTGTCATCCTTGTGCAGGGGCCATGCTAATCTTCTCTGTATTGTTCCAGTTTTAATGGATGTCCTGAAGGATGAGGACTGCATTTTTAGCAGAATGCAAACACAAAATCGCCGGTGCAAAACCTCTGTCCGTCCTGGGGGTGATCAGAGCACATCCCAGATCGAGGGCTTGTTGGTTGAGCGGTCCTTTCATTTGCGGGAGCTGCACGGTGGGAGTCCAGGTCCAGCCACCCAAATAAAGCAAGGCCGGGGTTGTTCTAGTCGTCCTCGAGTGTACTGGGACGTTCACCCAGTGTAGGTTTACGAAGTATGATTTTTTTTAAAGAATCTGCTAGAATTGTTCTTTTGAGATCCAAGACATCCACAGCCTGTCTCTTTGTCTCTTTGTCTGGCCTTCCTTTCTGCGTTTTATAACACGCAGCAACAAACTTTGCTTTGTCGGTTAAAACAAAGGGAAAAAAAGGGCGATGGTGGTGTTGAGATATAATCTTCGTACTGACTGCCCCCCAGTAAATTGAGAGTCGCCCTTTTTTTTTTTTCCAGAAAAAAAACCGTCAGTGTTAGTGGTGCTGATAAGAGCAGACATCACTAGAACCTGGGGAGGGGCTCCATCTATTGGTGGGGAGCGTGACCTGCTGGAAAGCGGGTCCAGCGTCCCTTATACAGACTGAAATTGAAGTACTTCAGAACACAATTGTGGGATGTTCCTGCCAGCATTGATTACGCTGGGATCCAGGGGATTGACTGAGCAGGATTATTGCAGGTACATCACTACACACTAGTTCCTCCCTTCTCCGGAGCCATATTGAGCCATACTTCTAGCTGGAAACAGGGTCCAGCGTCCCATTGCCTGCCTGGGTGCCAGGCGGAGGGAACGGAAGGAGCCACTGGGGGGCACCAGTGGAGCCTCCTTTCATCCCCTTGCCTGCCCCAGGGCATATAGATTCTGTATACGTTTTTTTTTTTCAGAGAAAACAATCAGAGAAACAATTGTGGGGGTATTCCTGCCAGCATTGATTACCCTGGGATGCAGGGGATTAACTGAGCAGGATGTTGGGAGGAAGGTGGAACCTTTTCACCCTGAATCCAGCGCCCGATACACTCTCCTAAGCCATGTGGAATCCATGCTAGCTGGAAACCGGGTCCAGCGACCCATAACTTGCCTAGGTGCCATGAGGAAAAAAACAGAAATTTTGGGGGGCACCAGTGGAACCTCCTTTCCTCCTCCCAACATTTCTGACATCTGAAGCTTCCTTTCTCAAAACAGAATACTCAGACTACCAGCATTGACTACCCCGATCAAAAGAAGAGTACAAAAACAGGAATTTTTTCCAAATGTGAGCTTCTGTGAGCATATGGCTGGATTTATGTAGGTTAGCTTATGTATATGTATGTATATGTATGTATATGTATGTATATGTGAGTGTTTTAGGAGTTGTTATTCAGGACAGAATCAATCTCTGCCAGGGAAAGGGCATGTGGTGGGAACGGGTCTGGAAGGTCCCAGGGTGGGCATAGTGGGAACGAGGGTTCTATGTTTGTCGAGTTCTTGAAGGTTAGACAGTAGTCTCTCATTTCTTCCAACTCCCATTGTCCCTCTCCCGTCTCCACTCCATTCCACTTTTGCAATCCATCCTTCTCTCCCCCTTCCTACCCAATCTGTGCAAAAATGTTGTAATTCGTCTCCTAACATCTTCAAATTGCCTAAAGAGGTCTAGCTGTGATTTCGTGTCTAACCATTTTTGTGTGAGTTCAAAATGCACCTGTTGTTGAATCTGTTCAGTGATCTCTGGCCCTTCTACTCTCACCTTCTCCATGGCCAGGGTGCACATCCCAGACTACCACCCTCCTTCCAAGTCTGTGTGTGGGGGGGGGTGTTGGTGGGGGTGGGGGGCGTTCAGGGGGTCGCTGGGTAGTGGGGGTTGGGGGTGAGGGGTGTTGGGGGTGTAGGGGTAGTGCCGGTTGTGCAGGGGTGGGTGTGTGGGGTAGTGGGGGTTGAGGATGGTGTTGGGAATGTGTAGGTTGGGGGGACGGGGGTGTGTTTGGGGCTAAAGCGCGGTTTTTGGGGCTTTGAGGGGGGTGTTAATGGGGGGTGAATTTGTTTTTTTTTTTTTCCTGGTTTGAGTGTTCGGGCACGTAGGCACACGTGTCCAAGGCCCAACGCGCGAATTCCGTTTTTCGGAATTCGACGCGACACCCCCGTTGTTACGTTTAACGCGATTCAACGGGGGTCCTCGGACCTGTTAAACGGGTGTTCGGGCGTTTAATTCGAACCGTTCTCCGTTAAAAAGATACACGGCTTGCACTTGTGTGGCTGGGTCAATTATACCCAGGCCTCCCGCTGCTCGCCGTCCCCCCTCCACAGGAAGGTTGCTGCCATTTTCCTTAGGCTTTTCAGGGTTGTTTTGCTTAGTGGCCATTGCAATGACTTGTACCATAATGTTGCAAAACAACATTGTTAATTACTAGACCGCAGCCAAACAGGGATGCATACTTGTTTTTTCAGTTATTTAGTTCGTGTTGAGTCGGGGTGCTGATCCATTTATCATTTGTTGGCGGGCGTCCCTCTGCGGT